GCCGGTCCTAAAGCAAGCAGGAACCACCAGCAGAGGCTGGAGAACATCGTCAAGCAGACCACAGTGGAGAGCAGGGTGAGGCGCACAAACACTTTGACGCGCTGTTAGCTGCTGGACCAACACTGCTTGATAATATGGTCTGATTTGTAGTTGTTATTTTTGGCCTGAAAACAGAAAAAACACTTATTTTTTATTTTATTTAAATAATTTATTTGTTATTTTTTAACTTGAAAGTGCCCCCTCTTAACCTTTGATACAGTTCATGGGGGTGGGAGTGTATACCAGCTGACACCGGGGGGGAGGAGAAGCACTACCATAGGAGAAAGCTTTATAAACCACATACAGGCTTTGTTTACTGGTTCTAAACTGATCTTAAATTTTCTCTAATTTCTGATTGCCCCACATTAGCTGCACAACATGTTTGCCTATTAAAAAAACTGAAATAATCCGCTGGGATTATTCTTTAATTCCTCAGATTATCATTTGGCACACTTTCATGGTTAAACGTTGTCTATTAAGAAGAAAGTATTAAGTATTTCTGGCTGAAACCAAACGTAATATATTGGCACAAATACCTCACACCAGCTGTTAAGGACGGTGGTGGAGGGGTGATGGTTTGGGGCGGTTTTACAACCACAGGAAATGGTCACCTTGTAGTCACTGAGTCATACACAAACTCCACTGAATGCCTTCAACCTCAATATTGCTGCTAAAGTTACTGAGTTATGAGGTGTGCTTAGTTTTTCGCAGCACTGCACAAAAGAAAAAAAAACACAGAGCTCAAGTTTCCACTGACGGTAACATGTTTACTGTTATAGACTCTACTGTATGTTCAGGGTGTGGTCACTCTGCTCCTCACAAATGTGGGTGTTAGTTGGTGCCTGCTGGTGGAGCCAGAGTGGAGCAGCCTGTCTGCACTGAGCCTAGATGAGTTATAATAGTTCCCTCTAGAGGGCAGGAATGAGGCTAATAAGAAGCCACTGGGTCACAGTCCCTGATGGAGACAACTGGGAAATTAGGCTAATGAGAGAGAGAGTGTGTGTGTGATTGTTCACTGATATTGACCTTGTTATTGAGGACAAAGCGTTTGAAACTTCCTGTTTAACTGCATCCTTCTCATCACTTGTTGTTGTGTTTGCGTCCTGCAGCCTGAGGTGGATTTCTTTGGTCGAGCTGTTGCCCCTAAACCCCAGAGACCACAGCCGTCCTCAGACACAGGTACCTGACTTCATTTATCTCAAATGTGGAAAACACAGGCTGCTTTGATTTTTTTAATACTTAATGCCTCGAAGCACATCAGGTCCACACGCACCAGAGGTAACAACTAATGTGTGTTATGTAACTTTGGTAATTAAGCGTTTTTGTTGCAGCCTGCAGGCAGAGCTGCTGGACTGCCAGCACTGTTACCACTTGCATTTATTATCAGATCTCTGTTAGCCAAATAAACTCCTTTGCACAGCGTGATCCTTATATTTATGCATCAGCCAATAGAACAAACATACTTAATATTTATTTCCTAAAATGTACATTAATAATAATGTCTAGTATTCCTTAAAATCAGTTTACTACATTTTCCTGAGACGTAGCAGTTGTAGTGCTTGGATGCTAATAAAACTCTTCAGGGTAATTTCTGAGCCTGCTGGTGCTTTTGAGTCAGTGGAGGCAACTGTGACTGCTGTTTGAATATATTAAATCTCCACCCCTCCTGCAGTTCTGGAAAAGTGCATCATCGTTAGCTCAGGACCCGTAACATGTCTCTGTGCATGTCTTATTTACCGTATGACCAAAAAGTCCCATTAAAAGCACTAACCCTCCTCAAACCACACCATCAGGGGCATTGATGAGCAGTGTAATCAGGGTGGAAACGCAGACCTGTGGTCATTTGTAGGTCAAAGCAGGATTTATTTACTAAAACAGGCACAGCTCCACATCCTCTGTTATGCTTCCCAGACTTTTATTTTGATTAGATCGGTTTGTGGAGAGGACTGAGAAGCACTAATTTGGATCTGGTTGCGTCAACGGTATGCATCAGTACTTTAGATGGGTGCATAGTTGAATTATGCAATAATGTGACAACAGGGTGAGACTGAAAGGATGGCATGGATTAAATGATTATCAGCCTGCAGCTTTCATCGTCTTTACAGAGCTTTATGTTGAGCCACAGAAACACAGATATTCACGCCAATGGATCAGATTTTTATTGTACTTGCGGCTTCAGTCTCACTGCTCTCATCGTGTCGTTTTTACACTGCAGCAGGCGGCTGTTTTCACTGGAAGACACCACTGTTAGCAAGTAGTTAGCATTTAGCTCCTCGGGAGAAGGAGGAGACCAAAAGTAGAGCTAATAGAACAAGTTAAAAATAAACTGTAAATGAACAGTGTCGCAGTGTTGCTGCCTAACTGCAAATTTTCCACTGGAAGTTGAAGGCTGATGATGTTCATAACTTATTTTCACCTCCTCAAGTCCTCTATCCAAAAAAATAATAATAATAATTCACCCTTAGTGTGAAACTGGAGCTAAACTAGTTAAACAGATCAGCACCAGCTCTGTTGTGGGATTGATTGATGTAAAAGTCATTGGTTTGAGCTGAAATGACAGAAAACTCTTTGGTTTTAGAAATTTGGATTGGAAAATTTATATTAATTGAAGTATGAACTTTTTAATTTATTGTGAAAAAAGCCACCAGCTTAATCAAATCTGAAAATACTTGGACCCGAATGAGTGCATTCAAAGCCTGTTTGTGTCTCCGCAGGTGAGAAGAGAGCAGATCTATCTATGGGGACAGCAGTGGGCAACAGTGACGTGTGGTTCCGGTTTAATGAGGGCATGTCCAACGCTGTCAGACGAAATGTTTACATCAGAGATCTGCTGTAGCGCGCACACACACACACACACACACACACACACACACACACTACTGTCTCATTCTCAGCTGTACTTGTTGTTGTTGTATCATATGAAAGAATCTTAATCAATGCATGTTAAATTCAAAACAGTCTTTATTTGGATTGACAGTGTAAAGAGCCAATAAAAAGGTGCTGTTCATCAAAACAAACCTCTAGAAAGCTACTCGGTGCTGCACACTCACACATACGCTCGTCTCCACAGAAAGCATTCAGAGAAAAGCGGTGATAGCACTGATCGTGTGTGTGAGCGAGCATGTGAGTTAGTGCAGTGCGTCATCCTTCAGTTTGTATGCATCTGTGATTGTGTGTGTGTGTGCGTGTGCGTATATATTTATATATATATGTGTGTGTGTGTGTGACCGCTAGAGGATCACACACTTGCCCTTCTCCACCCAGGGATTGGCTCTCATGAGCTCCGGGTTCAAAAATGGATCTTCACAAACACATCCCTCGATCCATTTCACCAGCCTACAAAAAAGATAAAAGAAAGAGAGAGTCGTACGGTCAGCAACGGGTCGCGCGCTGTACTGAACAGAGAGGGAACGAGTGTGTGTGTGTGTGCAGCAGGTGGACTCACTCAGTGACAGTGATGGAAGATTTCTCTCTGTTGATTGCCAGCTGATACTGAAGGCTTTCCACTTCGCGCTTCATCTGTGGGATGTCCCACTCCTCCATGATGCTACTGTTGTGTATACACACAAACACACACACAGATCAGAGACTGAAAAAAAACACAGCTCTACTACACAGATGATTAAAGCTCGTTTTTGTTTTGCAACTGCGCCAATTTTAGAGTGCTAAAAGAAGTAAAAGCAGCCGACTGATCCTGCTCCAGCTCCTTTTTGAAGCAGGAGTATTTTTGTTGTCGCTTCACCACACCTCACATAACTTCTGCTCTGAGTCATAATTCACTGCGTGGATAAGCTTTGCACAGAGAGAACCAGTGTTGTGTTATTTTCTAATTTTTCAAAATAAAACTCACGTTTAAAAAAAAAAAACCAAATAAACAACTTTTTGCAAACATTACTCTAACAGGTGTAAATTGCACTCGGGTTGAGGACTATTTTCAGCTGTGGATGAATACGATTTTACTGGCTGTTGACCTCTGACTCCAGAAGGATGGTTTGTGTGGGATTAGGCATACTGCAGTGTCCATGTACATAATGGAGAAGCAGGTTTCAGAGAGACTGCGCAGTAAATTGATCAGAAGTAAAATAAGTAAAAGGGCTTGATTTAATGAGGTGGGAGGATTGATCCAAATATTGATAGTATCGATACCAACACTGATACTGGTATCAGATTGATACTGGCGCAACAGGATTTGATATTTTGTTTCTATTCTTTTTTTAAAGAAAATATATGCTTCAAACATGCGCTATGAAAAATGTCTCAACCTTTGTGTCGACTGTCGCATCTATTTTATTTATAGCCTAGAGCAAATTTCAGCAACAGTGACTGCTTTAGAGACAGCACGTTTACATTCCAGGTCTTCAAAATACATAAAAAGCTTAAAGTTGTGTTATTGTTGTGTTAACGCATTATTGTGGAAAGTTTAAAATCAGTGATTTGGGGATCATTAAAACGAGTTGAGCATTTGGCAAATCTATGATTCAACTCTTACATTATGCCACACTGCTCTCCCCTACATGAGCTGCCTTTATTGGTTAAAGTATCGGTAATGGTATCGGCAATTCTGGCCGATATTTACTTGGTATTTACTTGGTGATCATACCAAAATTTGCAGAATGGGACAGCGCTAGTGGGAAAATATGAGGCCACATTAAAATTGTGCTTTCCTCATTTTGTTAGGTTTATCCATTGTATTTGAATCCTATTGACATGTAAAATGTTTATACTAGAGCAAGAATAAACTGATTCGTTTAGTGGAGATGGAAAGCTCAAAGTTACAGAGCGAATTTCTTAAAAGAAGAGCAGGTTTTCCATTTTTCTGTCTCTTGTTCCCAGAAAAAGGATCGAGTTACACCATTTAAATGTAAATAATCAGGGTAAAACGCGTTTTGTCTCTTTCTTAAGACACCTCGGGATATTTTAATATATTTAATGTTAGAAAACAGGTCTCGTGTTCTTATCTTATTTGTATTACTTGTGCCCTGCCCCACCCTGCCCCAGGCCACATTACAAGCAGCAAGACACAGCCAGAGTTCAATCATGGATCGGTTAAGCCCTCTCTACTGGAAGCTGTCTCCCTCCTCCTGCTCTTCATCTTTTTAATGGATCTAAGTAGGTCGGCTGCCGGTGCCAGTTTCCTCCACCAGCATCCATCCTGCTGCGCTTCTCCACCAGCCAACTGGTGCATGAAAAGGCCTTCATCATTTAATTACAGGCAATGCTACAGCCCCATCACCGTCTTCCTCCCATTTTACAGCAGCTTCTGTCCTCCCTCTCATAAAGGAAGGACATAAATTTACCTCGTCGTGAACGTGTGGTGACAGCGAGTGAATGACAAAGCCGCTCTTACCGTCAGGCCTACCGGGGAGAGGACCGCTGTTCGAGTGCGTGCGCTGCCGGGTGCAGACCGGGCTTCAGCGGCGGCGAGGACCGTTCAGGGCCGGGAGTCGGTGGCGTTTCACCGGTAGATGAGTACGGAGTTGGTGGGGGGAGGAGGCTGTGTGAGTATATGCGTGTGTGTGTGTCGGCTCTCCGCGGCGTAAAGGCACTCCTCTGCGCTCCTCCCCGGTAAAGCTGGATGCTTGCGGGGGCGGAGAGAAAAAAAAAACAAAAACCGGCGCCTGCTTTGACAGTCAAACGAGAGCCGGAGCCGACGCACCTGTATGGAAATCCGAGCACGCAATGAGCCTCGGCGCAGGCAGGGAAAACGCAAATGAGTCGCTCCGAAGGGAAAACACGCAGGGAGGTCATTTTCTATTCATGTGACCGGAGGCTGTGTCTGTTTCTCCTCCGAGGCCCCCACAGAAAGTACCAGAACAGTACTTTGATTTTTTTCTTTACTCAGCTCTGGTACAGACCATCAAAAAACACCTGACCTCTAATCTAAACACGTTCTCCTTCTCTCTATGCTTCCATCGTTTTGACCACTAAACTTATTTTAACCTTCATCATGCCGATGGATGCTTCATCTTTTCCCAGGACACTGACATCTGCATGGACTGAAAAGCAGATTCTTAATTAGTCACCCTGCTGTACCTCCCAGTGCACAGCTGTGATTTTAAATATCCAAAGACTGTCTAGTTAGTATGACTAAACTGCAGCTGTACCCACTTTGTTCTTTACTCTTAGGGTGGTGCACCTGTGTTATCAATTTCTAAATCCTGCGTCACCTCATTCTTTAATTCACAAACTCCACCCATGGTGGATGAATTTGGCATAAATCTTCATTTTTGGCTTTAATCAGGCATCAGAATTTCAATAGAATGACACCACCACACAGACATTCAGAAAACAAGAGTTTAACTTTTATTTGGCAAATTTGAAAAAGTATTTTTAAATAACTTCATAAAACAACATCCTCCTGTCCCATAAATCATCTTTGTTGGGTTTGTCCTGTGAGCAGCTTCCCCATCTGGTGACGACATCTGAAAGACACAAATACACATTCATGTGAGTGACAGGAGGAGAAAGGCAAAACAAGCCATGAGCTGGAAGTTCTCATACACGAGGTGTTGAGTTTTCCTCGTCACTGGCTCTCCCACATGCATCGCATATAAACAGACTTACCGTAAAGAAACTAGATCACCATCTGCCATCCTGAGTCGGGCTGTAAACAAGAGCAGCTCAGTTATTATTCACATAAAGACATTCCTAGCATCACATGGTATTACAGGATTACTCCAGAAGCCTCAGAGAAAAGCTCGAATCAGGAGCTGAAGCTCAGCTCTCATAGTAGGTGTCAGAAAAGATTGTTTAGTTTGTCATCACAGGCTGAAAATGTTCGAGTACCAGCATCTTATACAGACTCACCTGATCTCAGACCAGCATGAAAGCCTATTTCTCAGGACCATGTGGCAAAATACAGTCTTCTTCCAGTCATCTTCCTCTCACCTGGAAAACACAGTAGTTGTTTTTAAAGATTGAGGCAACGTGACAATTCATCCTAAAAACCTTTATCATAAATAAGTGAGCCTCAGAGAAAAGCTAGAATCAGGAGCTGGAGTTCAGCTCTCATAGTAGGTGTCAGAAAAGTTTATTTAGTTTGTCGTCACAGGCTGGAACCGGTTCGTTTGTTAAGAGAAGAAGAAAGAAGAAAAAAGGCTCACCGGCTGTTTTCTTCTTGCTCTGCTTTCATCTCCAGGTGATCACATTGTTCTCCGACTGCATTCAGCCAGCCTTCAGTCTGCTAAACAGCCCTGTGCATTCTCCAGCCTCTGCACTGTCATCCAATCCCACCGTGAAGGCTGAAAAACAGTTAAGACACAAACACAATGATCTTAATCATGAGCAAAAGGCACTTCATGCGCTTTGGAAATTGATTACTGGAGCCTCAAATGACTTGCAAATCTGGCTTTGTTGTAGTAAAACAGGCTGAAAGGCACATTTGTAAAGGTCGCATGGCAGAAGGAGCTTTTCATTTTAACAGAGACAAATCCAAACGCCGCCCAAAACCCTTTAACCAACCGCTACGAGTGTGTAGTAATTTAGAAATTGTGTCATGAGTTTGTCCAGCAGTGTTGCTCAGACTTTGAGGGTACTCACTGTCTGCAACATGTAGCATAAACTGTATATAAAAGAAGGACACAGTCAGTGACACTTTGCCTTTATGACACCTCAAGCAAAAGATTTCTGGCATTACCATTATTATTAATAATAATAATAATAATAATAATAAGAATTTATTTTTAAACCAGACACTCCCAAATTTCCCCTTGTGGGACAATTAAAGGATTATTCTATTCTTAGTCTTTGTAAATAGCACATCTGACTGTGAGACTCATGGGCCCATTATACTTGCCCTCAAGTGTCGTCACATGCCACACTTTGGCATTGTGTCAGCTGGTTGGCACATCTCAATTTTTTTAAGCCTCACATGACAGCTACCACCACTGTGTTGAAAATCCGAGTGTATGATCGTGTCACTGTTAATAATGAAATAAAACCCTTCTCTGCTTCCAGTGTTGATGTCTACACCCATGGTGTAGCAGTGGCAACATTGTAGTGTGTACTCATACCCTTGGTGTTGGTATAAATGCCACAGAGCTGTGGTGACATCACCATTTGAGCACCACATAACCAATGCAGCAAGTATAAAGGGGCCTAAGCAGGTCCACTGTAAAGCATTTCCTGCTTCATCAGGTTTATTAGCAATGAAACAAACTCTTCAGGAAAATGTTTGCTTCTTTCCTTTGACCTCAGTAATGTCCTTTTTGCATAGATGTCTAGAAAGCTGTTTACCCCCTGCTGGCAATTAGGCAAAAGTGCAGCTCTAAGGCATTTAATAACTTTCAGGCGCCAATGTTATGTCCATTTTTATATACAGTCTATGACATGTACACAGCTGAGCATTCATAATCGGAAAAAATGCAATAATTAAAATGTTTAATGAGTGAATCAGGGAATCTTTTACTTTGCGCAGAATTGCTTAAAATATGTGTTGCAGAATTGAGCAACAACTGGTTCCACAAAAACGTGAAAACCGTGACCCTTAAAGTAATTTTAAAGAATAGCTAAATGTGTCCTACATTGCTTAAGCTAGTGAATGCACTTTAAAAATCGGAGCACAAGTTCTACTTTATCGCCACATGGTTGCACGTGCTTGCGATATAAGTCGCTGTGCACTCCCTCCACGTGCAGACCCAGTACTCACCTCGTTCACTCTTAGCCGCCGTCCTTTGAAATATTTAGCGAAGCAGACCAGATCGTTTCGGCCTTTTTTGCTTCCATGTTGTGTGTTTATAGTATAAAGTCTTCAAAGGTCCATCGTCTGCTCGGGCTGAGAGGGAAAAGACCTGCATGCCCGCCTGAAGTCCCTCACATACCCTCCCAGGGTTAAAGCCCCTCCCCCGTGTCCTATCATTTCCGGGCTAACTGTTAGCTGCAGAGCTAGTTTCATTGTTTCTGCTTGGGGGGGGGCGGTCGTTTTTTTGTCCCTGTTTTTGTTTACTGGGTCTTCATTGATATGCGGGCATAAGAACAACGAGTTATTGTAAACTGTAATTAGAAGCAAAGTTAACGCTGTCGGCATATTTCAGATGCGCAAGGTCCAAGGCCTCATGGGACTTGTAGTTTCTCGTGGTCAACGAACCCTTTCAAACCTGAACCATTATGCCATAAAATCCTTTTCTGTCTTTCTTTTTCTCTTTCTTTCTTTCTTTTTTTTTTAAAAAAAAATTGAGTGTTTATTGAAACTTCTGACTTTTTATAATCATTTGCTACATCTGGCATCTTTTTTTGGTAATTTATTAGGAA